TTAACATAAATTTTAGGTATGTCTATCACTAACATGAAGTGGGACTGCTATTTACAAACGAGAATTGTGTTTGATAAAAACAGTTCCATCCAAGTTATTTTCTTATACTTTGCAAATAGTTTTAATAGTTAATACATGAATGTTAGAACATAATTCCATGTGAGAACTTATGCACATCCATTTCAAACCCATCCTAGTACACCACAAAATGAATGCACTTTCCTTTCATTCATTCCAAGTTTCCCACACACATAGGGAGTTACAGACTTTCTTGGTAATATTGACAATAAAATTGATTTTCATTTCCACATTGGGGCTAATCATAAAATAGCAAATTACATGTGCAAATAACTGTGTAAACAGTGAAAATGAAACTATACTGATCAAATTTATGATGGTGATGCAGACAAAATAAATTCACTAAAAATTGGACAGCGCCCTCTGGAGGCTTGCATAATATAAAAGAATGGTTTATAAGCAAACAAAATGAAAATCTACTTCACACTATAACCCAAAATAAAAGTATTTCTCCATTAAATCTATAGAGGGCGCTGTGACCACTTGTTGAACATAATTATTTGAAGGGGCAAGAAACTTACTCCACTGTGGGTTGAACTTTCTGTAGTTACACTATCAAAACTATGTCTTCTTTCTAAGTCAGTGGATCTTCGTCTTGTGGACTCTACTATGTGGTTAGTAGTATGAGGTATTTCCCACATTCCAGTATGCCTAGCACTGCTTTCAAGCATGGTGTCGTTAATGGTCACTGGAGGAGTTGGTGATATAGTCACACTGTATAGAAATGAAAATTGCCATTTAGTACAATTTGAATTATTTACAAAATTGAGTCTATCAATGCCTTTTTGTAAAACAATGACATTTGTTTATTGGTGTTGGGAAGATATTGTAATTTTTACATTTATCAATCCATCAACAAATATTAACAAAAATAGCAAAAAAATAACAAAAAAAAAACGACAGACAATATAAGATAAACAGCCTAAGGATCTGTTGAGCCATTAACCATGGGATATGTAAATCTACTGATTAATATATGGAATTCACTGATCCATATAAGAAATTTACTGATCCATATAAGGAATCTACTGATCCATATAAGGAATCCACTGATTCATATAAGGAATCCTCTGATCCATATAAGGAATCCACTGATTCATATAAGGAATCTACTGATCCATATAAGGAATCTACTGATCCATATAAGGAATCCACTGATCCATATAAGGAATCCACTGATCCATATAAGGAATCCACTGATTCATATAAGGAATCCACTGATCCATATAAGGAATCCACTGATTCATATAAGGAATCTACTGATTCATATAAGGAATCTACTGATTCATATAAGGAATATACTGATCTATATAAGGAATCCACTGATCCATATAAGGAATCTACTGATCCATATAAGGAATCTACTGATTAATATAATGAATCCACTGATTCATATAAGGAATCTACTGATCCATATAAGGAATCTACTGATCCATATAAGGAATCTACTGATCTATATAAGGAATCTACTGATCCATATAAGGAATCTACTGATCCATATAAGGAAACTATTGACCCATATAAGGAATCTACTGATCCATATAAGGAATCCACTGATCCATATAAGGAATCCACTGATCCATATAAGGAATCCACTGATCCATATAAGGAAACTATTGACCCATATAAGGAATCTACTGATCCATATAAGGAATCCACTGATCCATATAAGAAATTTATTGACTCATATAAGGAATCTACTGATCTATATAAGGAATCTACTGATCCATATAAGGAATCTACTGATCCATATAAGGAATCTACTGACTCATATAAGAAATGTATTGACTCATATAAGGAATCTACTGATCTATATAAGGAATCT